GAGTCGGCAGCCTAGTAGCTTAAAGTTGGTGACTTATATTATAGATATGAAAACAATTTAAAATACAGTAAAATCACTATGAAATGTCATTCAAAAGCACATACACATGCATGATTATGGAAAAAAACGCCTTTACCTTTAGGGCACTTAACTTTCTAGTCTAATAGCCTAAAGCTGACATTCTAGGAGCCTGGCAGCCTAAAATTGGTGTCATGTTATAAAAAATGGAACGATCAAAATAATAAAACGGCAAGTTGGATTTCTCCTAAAATCTACTTGAACAAAGGGCTTCATAATTTACACGTTTATTAATCAATACAATAAACTTGATCATGGCAAGTTACATAATTATTGCATAAATTTTAATCAAGTTATTGCCATTTTCAGCAGTTTGAGAATGAATATTGTTAACCTAAACCGGCAAGTTGGATTTATTTAAGTACTGTCTATACTTATATATTCATAATTTCCACACTTACTTATTTAGAAAAAGTTCATGATATTGCCATCCATTTTCCCAAGTTATATTCCTTTTTTTCACTTTGAAAATAGGACCTTGTATGGTTTACCTATCCCGGCAAGTTGGATTTATCTTAAAAATTTATTTAATGATATATTTGGTATTATTTTCTGGTAGGTGGATACCATTAATGGCCGTGTATTTTTAATGGAGTAAGGGGTCTCCAGTGTCAAGGCCACTGGTGTGAATTTTTTATAACATTTTTGCTCATTAAACCTTTATTGTTAAGATTATGTATTTCATGTTTAATACAAACATGCCAAGGGAAGTCCTCTTCCTTTGGGTTTAGTTGGGGGTCCTGTGGGTAAAGGCCAAAGTCACCAATGCCAAAAATAGATTTTAACATTTTTACAGGTGTTTTAACATTATTCTTTTGAAAGATGTCTTATATATTTAGTAGGAACATGGAATTGAGGTCTTCTCCTTTGGATGGAGTTATGGTTGAGTTGGATCAAGGTCACCAGTTCTAAAATAGATTTCTACATTTTACAGCCTTTATTTATTGACAAATGTATTTCATATTTGGAAGGTAGATAACTTGCATGGTATTCTTCCTTTATATTGAGGAAGGGATCAATGGGTCATGGTCACAAATGCTAAAATAGATTTTAATTTGCAGGATGAAGTTCACACAAACAGTTTATGCTTTTATCAAATTTGCTAGTCGTATGCGTGTTTTTATTTCCATTTTAACGCCAGAAAGGCAGTGGTCATTCATATTATTGTTGCAATAAATTAAAAAGATGTTTTCTTTACACCTGTTCCATTTTTTTGTTTTGTTTTGAAAAATAAAGTTCTTAAAATTATCTTAAAATAGATACACTATTGTGCATATGTTTGTATTTATGGTCATTTGAACTTCACTCTGACGTACTCGACATGCGCATTTTAGGACGAACATAAAAGTGGTTACAGATATCTAACCAATATCGTCGTTACATATGTACGAGTATAATTCATGTCTTGTGTTTTTCGAAAAATGTCAGATTTAATTTCATAATTTTATAATGAAGCGCTACAGATTAAGATTTTCATTACAGCAAAGCAATGATATAAAAAGCCTAAATTCTCTGGCCAAAAAGGCTAGCTGTCTTCAGCCAAACAGCAAGGCCAATATGAGCTTAATCAATTATTTGTATTCTTATTAAATGATAGTTACTGAAAATCTTTCATAGCATAAAGCGACTTGGCGAGTAAAATATCACTTGCCACAATGTCAAAGCTTAAATAGTTTTTGACAAATCGTAAAATGTACTAAATCTTGTGTACTTATTTTAACTTTGACATCTGCTTACTGTGTGTGAATTTGCGTTTATTTATACTCGCCACCGGTTGCCCATATGGGCTCCAGAAGAGTACAAGTCATTTTAGATTTTGGAGGATAGTGCAATTACAGATATAGAAAGATGCCCCGATTCCAGAAGCTTCCCTTTCTTTAACGTGCCAAGTTGTTTTAGCACCCATACACGGGACCTCGATTTAAAGTATCATCCGAAAGACTGATCAGTAATTTTAGTTGGCCTGCTCGGGAATAGAACCATCAAAGTCGAGTTTACAAGTCTCGCGCTCTAAGCGGGCTGGCTGCTTACAAAAACTCCGGTGCATATAATCGTAAAATTCGCTCATATCTAGCACCCGACTGCGTATTGAATATTACATGATCAAGGAGTACTACATGATATTTTTTTTTCGATTTTCGTATTGACCGTGCATTTCATACTGTTTTTCACGTATTTGCCTTTTCTGTTAAAATAAAAAATTTGCCTTGATATTCAATCAATATTTCACGTGTGAAGTGAATATTTGTGATGGTTTTTTGGAAAGTATAAAAAGGGAGATATTTTAGAAAAAAATACCTTTCATGGTCATCTGTCCTTTAGAAATGCATTAGTACTTTCATATGAAATAAGTATTTTAAGTTTAAAGTGAATATGTTTGAAATTAGCCGTAACCAAATGGTTAATCAAAGCGAAAACATTTTAGAGAAATAAGGGGATTTACTTTGCAAAATATAACTAGGATTATCTGCCTTTTGATATTGCATCATATGATCATAGTGAACAACTAAACCACGTTTAAAATAAATTCGGTAGTTTCTGAGAAAATGAATGAAATTACTTAAACCAAATTCTGAGAGTGACAATACCATAATAACTTTAATCTGTTGTCAATCAGGGTTACAAATGAAAATGATAAACAAAAGAAAAATACTTATCTATTGAGAATTTAGTATCAATTATCCTTTCTAGCCTAAAGATAACATTATATAGTAGCTCAAAACCTCGATATTTATGTTCGTTAAAGAAACCAAGTAAGACAAAGATAATTTTTGTGTAATGGCAATTACAATTAAAATAACTATGAGAATGTTAAAAAGTAATAATATTCTACTTTAAACATGATTTTAACATGAATTTACATCTTGCGACATTTAACGGTAGTGTTGCGACATTTAACGGTAAGGGAAATTCGTGCGACATTTAACGTTAACATTGCGACATTTAACGGCAAATGATTTTGCGACATTTAGCGGCGGTTGCGACATTTAGCGTCAATGGTGCGACATTTAGCGGCAAGTGCGACATTTAGCGGCGTTGCGACATATAACGGCGCCACACAGTGCTAATGCCGTTTTGTAGAAAATGAGACTCGTGCATAATCTTTTAAGTGTCTCATCAATTATCGACCTCCTGTCTTATGTGTATGTTAGTTATACATGTATATATATGAATATATCCCCTTTCGAACCATTTTCATTCAGCGAGTTGGTCAGAAAACCCCTCAACACGTCTTATAAATACCGACAGACACTATTCAGCTTATGATTGTCATGGTGTGACACGTAGTAATACTTTTAGGCTCAAAAACACTAAAAAGTTAAATTATTTAACAAATAACTCTGTATCCTCCTCTAATTTATTCATGTTTAGTCTGAAATGAGATTATTTCCAATTAGAAAATAATATAAAAGACTATACTTTAAAAAATATGTGACTGCTAGACTCCGTACACATCTACTAAACCCTGTACATTAAACTACTACAGCCCGTTCACTTGAATTTGTATTCTTTGCTAGACTCTGTACACAAGGCAAGGCCGTTTTTTGCAAATTTTGTTAAAAGCAGCTCGAGTTGAAGGATGAAAACTGAAACATATCTAGAGGGATGACTATAGTTTGTATTAACGGCGGAATTTGATACAGCAAATGCGTTTTGGGCTTGATTTAGTGGTAAATATCAACATCGTTTGCACATGTCAACAAATAGGCTACATTTTTTGCAAAGTTAACAAAAAGTATTGAATTTGCAAACGAAAGCAAATATTGCTCTAAAACTAGAAACATTTAGCTTCACAAATTTGTTTAGTTTGGAAAAATCGATGAAGTAATGATGAAGAAATAAGTAATAACATTACCTTGAGTGTACTCGGTGTGCAGCTTTCTACTTTCGTTTTCGGTGTTTTTAGGGGCTATATATCCGGTGGACGCTGTACAACAGTGTGTATATGCGGCTTTTATGTTTTCACCCTCGATTATATAGTTTACAAAGCCTTTTAAAGCAACAATAAAAAGCATTTTTATTTTTATTTTTAGTTCTTATAATGTTTTCTTTTTTTACAATACCGAAATAATATCTCACATACACTAACGCCACATATTTGATCCATATCAGTTAATAAATATTTTGACAAAACGGCGCCAATCCGTAAGCAGCGTAATGACGTCATCGTAAATAAACAACTCATTCATAAACAAGCTGACGTTATTTCATACATACACGAATGATAAATGGGGCACTGATGTAAACACAATACGACGTAAGTTATTATTGTTGAAAACTTGATAAAATAACGTTTTTTCTTATTATTTATTTTGTCTAATAATTTCCATAGCTTTGCAACAGTAGGGTGCGAAAATCGAACAGCGTTATACGAAAATCGGCACCGGAAGTTATTTCCGCTTGAAAAAATAACATTAGTGATCTTCCTAATTTTATCGTGATAGAATCGAAATAACATCGGCCTGAGAGTTGTATACCGGCTATTTAACACCGGTTTTGTCGTTTTGATGCGAGAAAATTAACCACTCAGGCCTACGGCCTTCGTGGTCAATTCCTACGCATCAAAACTCCAAACCGGTGTTAAATAGCCGATATACACCTCTCAGGCCGATGTTATTTCTTAAATTAAATATAAATTAATGGAAATGGTAAAGAACACTTTAATTAATTAATTAAAAGCTGAAGGCCAATTAGCATTGTTTCGGAAACTTAAACAAAAATACAATTAAAAGTACCCTTTTTACCTCAGATAATTGTAAAGAACACTTACACTATTTCCTCATGAATTTTCTAACTTGTTTAACTTCATTGCGCAGGACTTGATTGGGGTTGTCTCCTTCAAACGATGTCTTACTTTCCTTCAATATTTCTTCTATCATTTTAATTTTGAATATAAATTTTAAAATTAATTCGCCCCGCTCTATTTTTTAGGTTTCACACAGAATGGTATATTTATTATTGTCATGCCCAGGCGGATGTCCAAATGGTAGTCACTTTCATGACAGACAAGCAAGTAATCCTTGCGATGCAACTAAACAGGAATTTGAAATAAGATGGAATATTACAGCTGAAGATACTGAAATTGAATTTGTAAGTCTAACTATAATATATATTTATTTTATCTATGCAACTATAAATATAAATGTTTTAAAAGTATACACTCCGAGTTTATTGCCATGGCGGGACTGCATTTTTTTATGATTCATGAATTATTGGATTAAGGATTATACCAAACACGTGTGTCTTTATTTTCAGATCATTCGCTCAATCCGTTTTACATGAATGGTTATTTTTTTATTGACACAGAATTGAAGAACATTTATGATCTACGCTTTTAGCTCGGTCTAAGAGTAGAACAAATATAAGATTTTCAATTTAATTCTGAGTGTATTTCTAAATTATCTTTTGTTCAATTTTCCACTTTAAACCCACGTCGATCTATGAAAATAAAAATAAAACACAAGTTTTATGCTCGTAGGGTTTTGAACTCGAATTTTCTTTCAATGTTTACTTGTAAGAAGTCACATATCTGAATGAGAATGTGCAATGATTATGTAATTCATGTATGAATCGTTAGAATTGCTTTAAATTTCTATTTAAAGAATTATTATAGTGTTTTGTACTCCAATGCGATAACAGACAATGCCTATTAAAGGCAATCTCATTAAAATCAGATCATCGTTTTCGCTCCTGTTACTCTTCGCTGCGATGTACTCAGATCCTACGAGCGTAGAGGGTAGCGAAGCGACAGTTAGTATATGATTTTTATGAGATTATATTAAAGGTAAACATAAAATTGTGTATGTAATTAGGATGCAGACAATTACCTATATTAACTACATTATAAACCGATATTGATAGAAACAAACATTTCAGGTGTATGAAAACGGTACGCTTAACAGAACGTTTATAGTCCCAGGCGTACAACTTGACTTTGATGTTATGATTATGGCGGCATTTTTAGGCAGTGCGAACTTTACAGTTGGTAAGTGTGTTTGTCATTGTAATTTGTGCTGGCAATGTTTCGGTGATACCCAAAATGTCCTGTATGTTGTAATTAAGGTTGTTACCACACCATGTGAAATTTTATATATGTATTTAATTATGCTTCTAAAACAATTTTGAAACATCGAAGAATTATGTAAAATATGTACTGCAAATATTTGTCCACATTTTAGGTAATCATTAAAATATATGCATTCATTTCTTATTGAAAAATTTGACTTTATCGAAAATGAATTTTTAATTACCTGCATTCATTAACATGAAATGTAAAGTCGGTAATATCTTAATACAAAATGCTTTTTTGAACTTCTAATATTGATAAGTCTTCATTTGAGCGTTATATTTATAAAATAAAACAATAAAAAATGAGTTACAGGATCTTTAATGAAAATTATCATCTTTTATAGTCATTTCATTAAAAAATTTATTCCAATTTACACAGTCCCGGTTTTTGCGTTCCGGTTTGCCACGGTTAAGGAAATCGGGATCAACCGTGGTTAACCGGCGTGGGGCCGTAGCTGTACCGTGAAGTACCGGGGCGAACCTTGGTGAACCGGAACAAACCGGGAGATTGCCACGGTTGTATTAAAATGTTTAATATAACCAGGGTTCACCGGCACTCACCGGAAAGGAAGCCGATAACCGTGTTCTATCGGCTTGGCACCGGGAAACGCCGGAGATCCACCGTCTCTGAACCGCATCCATTCCGTGACAAAACGTAGTTAACCGGGATGCGTGTTTATCAATCTCAAAACACGGCAGAGCCCCGGTGAAGACGGTAAAAACAGGCAGAGCTACGGGAAAGCAAGGGTACATTGCAGTTATTGGCGACAACGCTCCGGTTGGACCCGTTAATGTCCCGTATATTGCCGGCAAGTCCCGGTTATACAGCGGTGATAGACAGTGGCGTCATCACTTTATGCCGATAACAGGCAATTTAAAGATCAGGTATATACACACTTGAAATGCTACTTTGGATAATTTTATTAAATGAAGACGGAGAAGGGCCAGTCTCTGCTATTTCATCTGAGGCGAGTTTTCATTACTGTCCTTCTCTGAGTCGTTTTCAAAGGTACCTCAACATCTGTAGGCGTTGTAATCACAGTTTTCCCAACTTTCTTCCTGTGTCTTTTGGGTGGAATCTCTGCTGTCTTTTTACCAAATGACTGAATGTCAACTTGCTCAAGCAGTTTTATTCTCGGGAAGCATCGGAGCATTACCGGGGCGTCACCGGATAAGTGCCGGCATCACCAGTAGCTTTACCGTGGCGAAATTAGCGATGGTCGGGGTAAACTGTGATGAAACCGAGTCGCGTCTACACCGGGATCAACCGGGAATATACCAGGAAAGCATCGGCACTAACCGTATATATCCTGTTCTATATCGGGTACTGAACCGGGAAAACACCTGGGCTCTGTCGGGGATGTGTCAACGCACTTTGTTTTTTTTTCAGAAAAACACCACGGAACACCCCGTTTCACCGGTTTAAAACACCGTAGCGATACCGTGGCCATTACCGGGACAGTGTAAATGGGGCTTTACCATTTTAACTTTATTTTCCAATTTCCAATGTTAAGTTTTTTTTCAACAAATGTCATAAAACGGCATAATAAAAATTGTATTTCTGTTACATTTTTATACAATTCTTTTATTTAGATTTTCATTTCTTAACAAAAAGACAATAATCAAACCATTAAACACAAATCTACATATCTCTACATTTGAAATCTGCGTAGAAATTGTCTAACTAAGCAAACAGCAAAAACAAACATGTAAAGCTGAAAGAATGTCCCATAGTGGTTGTATTGATAAGTATTATACTAACTAACTAACTAACTAACTAACTAACTAACTAACTAACTAACTAACTAACTACATAACTAACTAGCTAACTAACTAACTAGCTAGCTAACTAACTAACTAGCATCCTTTATTGAACAGACAAACTCCGGAATTAAGAATATTTGTTTTTCCCGGTAAAAACAAACTTTTACAGATACAGCTTCGAAAATAAGCGCAAAAGGTTGACTAATCTATTGTGACAGGGTAGTGCACTTTGCAGCTTTAACGTTAAAAAGTGTATTTGTACCCACGGATAAGCTGGAATAACTCTAATTTTCCAAGTTCCCGATAACATCTTTAGATTTCTTTAAATCAAAATCAAAATGAAATCAAGTCATAAAAACGTATAGGTTAACTTGTAACCTACAAACAATGTTCCGTTTTCTTTTTAAAGATGATTGAAAAATCAATTTACAATATTAAAATTGCGATCTGTCTTTAAAGGGACACTCGAGCAAATTAATGACAAAAATATAAGAAAAATCTTATGTATTTAATCCACGCTAAATTAAAATTTTTTAAAATGTCAGCAGGAATTTCTGTATAAATTGTATATATCTTATATGTTGAACGAAATTTAAACGCCAGCAGAATCACCAAGTAGATTTAAAACAAGTCATGTGATTTGAACAACCCTGGGATTAACAATAACATATATTGTAGATATTGTATGATTGAAACAAGTCAAACCCATTTTCATTTGATATGTTCTTTAACGTTTCCATGGTTCACTGTGACAACTATTGTTAAATCTTAATGCTCTAACCTGATCCACCTGGGTCAAGAAAGGAAACCATCATTTATTTTTTATAAAAAGAAAAGCTTTGTTACTGTGACTGCCTAGTGTATTCATTTTCAGGACATTTACTGAATAATGAATTGACAAATTCAAAACGAAGAAGTGAAAATTTTGCCTGTGTCTGACATAATTTTCGTCAATGATACTTTCTCGGGCGTACACTGCACAACCTCAGCTAGTTCAATGGCAAACTACCCGAATCATTCTTCTGTAGCATTTATGACAATAACTGCAGTTTTAAGGAATTAAGTATTTTGTACTGAAGTCAAAATACTCCTTTGTACTTTGTTTATATGCTAACGTTACTTCCTTTATGACGAAAGTTTCACAACCAGGGATAACATGCATCTGACAATCATGCTTTAATAAACAAACCATTATTTAAATGCCATAACACTCATTTTTTCTCTTTCCAAAGAAGAAAAACGTGTAATCATCGATGTTTGTGAAAACATTTTATAATTATAACTTTTACTATATAGCACGACATGATTTTTTTGATATCCGAGTTGTGTCTAGTGGACTTTGTTACACATGCCTAAGTTCGATAGAAACACTAATTCAAAGTCAATTTCAATAGCTTTATAATTCCCTTTATTCCGCGATTACAAATAAAATGAATTTAAAACAAGATAACTCTCCGTTTTCTGAAGGTAAATTGAAGAACAAAAAAGTGCGTAACTTTAAATAATTAGTCAAATAATATCTAAGTCGCGCTGACGCTATTTTGGCATACTTGATCTAACTAACGTTAAAAAAAAGAATTCACAGTGAAAGTGCGCCCTTGGAGTGGTGGAGCTGTTGGTAATTTTCACCCCGGATCACGGCAGTATACCACATTGAATATACCAGAGCACAGTACAGCCACCGCATCGTTCCTGGGAAGGCTGTCAAACTGTTTACCACTAAGAGTTGCCTTCACATTCGCAAAGAACTGATTTTTTTCTGTTGATGCCAGAGCAGAGATACAGTGCGAATGACCGTAGAAAGAATTTCATGATCAATCACAACGAAAGTGAACTGCGCCGCACGGGAATCAAGCTCGGGTCGTCCGATTCACTGTCAAACGCTCTACTTGGACATCGTGTATGCCTTGTTTATAGGGATCAGTTAATTATTCAGGTCATTGGGGTTAATTGATCATGCATTCATATTTTGACCAGTCAAATCAGCTTTACCTTTTTACGCACATCTCGGAAATTTAATCTCCGGCCAAACCTATAAAATATCCCTTATTTGAAATGACCAAACTTTTGTGCAAAAATACGCTGACGAGGTTGATTCCCTGTCGGCAGCTGTTGGGACTAACCCTTCCGGTAACAATAAGCCACAAAAAGCTTACATATATAAAATAAAATGCATTTGCTTGACCAATTTCAACTGTCCGACTAGTGTCCTAGTACTTAGTAACATGTATATACGCCATAGTGTTATAACTATACCTGTATTTGCTACAGAAGGAAACATTTCTTTTTCTTCCTGAGACATAATGTGCCTTTATCAGCATGAAACAATTGTCAGCATGCATATTAGATGTACCCTTTTTTCTCTCACCTAATTGTAACTAGATATAATCATTCCATGAATGTTATATAGCCGTTATCCATTATGTATTTGTTTATAATTATGTATGTATACTGCTGATGTATTGTGGGACTTGTGCATTTTGTAAATAAATTGTCAATATTGTCACACTTGCCATAGCCACCGTTGTATTATTGGGGTCGTTTTGCACACGTTTGTAAGTGCTTTAACCAAATGTAGGCAAAAGTGGCGTCCTCTCGTCAAACTGAACAGAAGTGTTTGCATAAACGGCAATGAATTGCACCGTGTACGTGTAATAAGTTGGGAGAGTACATTTGGGGCTCCCGACTCACTTAGTGTTTCCAGTAAAACATTTCAGCCTAAAAAATTCAGTCATAAACTTAACGCCACAAGCAAACGGCCATTTTTATCAACCGCTTCTGCGTCGAATACTCCACCGCCGAAATCGTTAGCACGAAATCAATGTCAAAAATAAACTGTTATCAGACATTATGTATTTATTTTTTACTTAAATATAATTCCTTGTTATTATATTACAATTTATTACGATCAAGTAATAATAGTGAATTCCTTCTGTCTGTTTATATTGGTATAGTTCCTATAAATAGCGCTGGCTTTGGTGGTTATAACTCTGTCTCAAATCTCAAGATTTTGATTGGCCTGTGTACATTTTGTTACAATTACTGACCAATCAAATACCTAAGATTTGAATTTTAGCGTAGAGAATTTTTTTATAACCTTAAACCCTGGGGAATGCAGACATACGCGACACTTGTCTAATATGTGTTTTTCAGATATATGGTCCTAAAGAAAATTATATAATTTTAGACTTATTTATTTATTAGACTTATTTTGTATCATTTTGTATAATTAGACTTTTATTTTCTTGTTTTTAGCGTGTATTTTACTGTATGCTTATTTTGATAAGATAGTTTTCTGAAGAAAAAAAAAATACATTACCGGTATCTATTTTCTCTTTTCAGACTTGCCGGAGAAAGACTGTGACAAAATAATAAGTGGTAAGCGTGGTTTTAATGGAAAACATTTTCTGCCTGTTTACGAATTAGAAATAACATTAAACTTACACTACAAAAACTGTCATAAACTGTATCATTTAGTCATTTTTCTGCTATATGACACAAGGAAACAACAATATATTCCATCAAAATTAGTTTTAATTTGTCAGATGTAAACAGTGTGTCGGCCATTTTGAAAACCGTATGTCATCATTTACCTCGCGGTAATGGTGTTTTATTTTAGTTTTTTCATGTTTCAGTTAAAATTTCTTTAAGTTATTTTGCATGATTTTAAATATTAAAAGTATTTTTACATTGTAACTCAAATTTTATTTTTTCAACAAACAAGAACATTTAGAAAATGATGATTGTTTCAGACGTATGCACAATCTAAATGGACTATTGTTGTTCTTTACAGAAGTTTGTAAAATGTTGTTCCGTTTTACGTAAAATTCTATAGATTTAAATTATTTTGCACAAAACCTTTGTTGTTAAGGTGTTTGGATAAAATATGTCGATTCTGACCAATTATAACACTGGTCACATAAAAATATGCCATTACCGTGAGATAAATGATGACGCGGAATTAGTGATGTTGAGTATACTATGAAAAATAGATATGAAGTATTATTAAAATAGAAGTCGACTATGGACGAAATTCGATATAGTATCGGTTTTTGTTCTTCTATGAAAATTAACGCACATAATTTTGAAGAAATACAGCGTTTTCATTGGATGACAAATAAAGCTGGACACTAAAAAGAAAAAAGTGCGTAATGAATATATCAGTTTTTCGTAATTTCTGTTCTGAAAATAGTTGATATGTGATATGCAAGAAAAAGAATCAAACACCGGCTGTCGATACATACAGGAATATCTAGCTCTCGACAGAGCCTCGTTACCGCCTAAAACTGTTACTCTCGAGCTAGATTGTAGATTCTTATATTCTAGCACCAGTGTATGCAAGACTAATTTGTAAATGGTCGAAAAAAAAGTAATTGTAACAAACTATATAAAACAGTCACATACGTACACGTGTATGTTTCAGTAATAATAATAAGTATGATTAATGGATATTTTCGCTGCAGATGATGCTGATAATTATGGCATAGAATTTATAGTACCAACTTCTACAAGCACAAGCACAAAAATATTTCTAACAAACGCTAGCCCTACTATAAAAGTTCATGTTAAAGTTTATGACAGTGATGGGACCCTAAAAGAAGAACATGTTGTTTCTACTTCAAGTACATCGATGATTACGACCGCTCCAAGTAAAGTAAGTATTCTTCAAAGTGATTAAATACGTATGGTATGTATGAAATAAAGGTGTTTTACAGTTGTGCACACACACGCACAACCGCACGCGCGCAGGCACGCGCATTCAGCAATTTCATATAATTTAATGAGCAAAATAGAAACACATCTGCTAGTATTCTATAGACAACGCTTTTAAGATTCTGATGTTAAAAGAGGAAATCAAAGAACCTTAAAAGTAAAAAAAAAGCTAACATGTTTTTGTTTTGTTTGTTTTACGGCTCACAATAATCTCGGGCGTTACAAACTTTAAGCAACATCAGATGTCAAAAGCACATCACTTGCTGGAGCAAAGAGATGCATAGACTCCAGAAATTCGAATCCATTCAGTCGCCTGTTCCGATCATGCGTTGACAAACGGCGGCAGCAATTCTGATGTCTCAACCCTTAATGGAAACCCCTCAGGCACCAACATAAGGTTTACAAAATATCCTATCACATAAAAACAAGAAAATAAGACTTCTACACGATTTTGAGGTGACAGCATGCGTTGTCTTTAATGAAACTTAATTCTATTGTATATCAACAACGTGTGCTTGTCAGGGCCAAATTTGTGATCAGTGTAAGTATCAGTGTAATAAAAATGTGTAGCCTAACCTGTCCCCATCCGGGTGCCCAGTGTCTCATGATTAGAACCCGAACCCGGGGTCATCGGAATACGGTTCCGCGGCTCTGCCGACTGAGCTTTGCAGCTGCTCGCATATTTTCTCCTCGAATAAGTGAACAGTTTAATATCGTGAAATAATCTGTACCATCACGTATATGTTTGTATACTTGAATGTTCTTTTCAGATAACAGGTTGAATTACCTTTAAAATAAAAAAGAACCCACTTAGTTTTTGGGAAGCCTCAGCATGGTTTTGCATTTGACCAGCATGATTGACTTTTACAATTTTTTTGAAAAAAAACAAAACAAAACAAAACAAAAAACAAAACAAAAAACAACATTGTACTTTTGTAGTAAATTAGGAAATGTAATTAGAACATAATTGATTACCTTTATCAAATAATAAAATGTAAAAAATCTGTTTATTTTTAAAAGTGTTAAAATTTACTGGATTACTTTTTAACTAAGAAATGTAATGAAATATAATCGAATACTTTAATACACTAGTGTTATAAGGTTGAAAAGTTTATCAGTCCCCTACCGGTTTAACTATAGGGGACTTAAGATTTACCCTCCGTCCATCTTGTCGGTCCCCCGTCCGTCCGTCTGCAAACATTTTGGGTTAAGGGGCAATATAACAGTAAAGAGAACAAAAGAGAACAATAGGTTCATTCCGTGATCAAAGGTTTTAGGGCTAGTAGCCCTTAAGAAAACAAAGAAAATAACAAAGAAAATAGCCCCTAAAGCCAAAATGTTGGAACGTCCGTCCGTCCGTCCACATTACTGGATCCCGTGATAATGCAAAAAGTACTGAAAATAGTTTTATGAATGTCGATATATAGATAGATGGAAGTCTGGAAATTATGCACGTCTTCTTTTTTTCCTATGTTGAAAACTTTTGGTTGCGATGGCAACCAAATAGACTTAAAATATGGCAAATATAACAATATAACAATATCTGTGATTTCTCAAAAAAGTGCTGGAAACATTTTTATGAAACTTAATATATGGGTAGATGGCAGTATGGCGATATTATACACATCATTTTAATCGTGACCATAGGGAGTATATTGAGAGTGTCTTACCCACCAAGCGTCGAAGACCTCGTCAAGATTTCACCGTATACATGGTATATAAACTACAACCGACTTATAGTTAGTTAGCCCCGTTCATTGAAATCGAGTGCATTTTTAAATACAATCCCAATAGTCCATTAAAAATTTAACGTATAAAATTAATACATACAGTTGAGTTGTATGGTAGATATTTCGGGAAATTAAAACAAAATAGAGCGATTTCATTGGCAAACGGTAAAAAGTTTTAGGGTGGCTCTTGATGTATGATTTCTTTCATGTTAAAATCAGAATAACCCAATATATAGTAATACACATTTCACTGACCTTTAAGAATGTTAAAATAGTCTCCTGTCATTCACATTAAGGGAAGGATTTGTTTTAATATATAACCTTTTTCATATGAAAATGCATAAAATGTATAATATTTATTATGTGAATATGTTACAAAAATTTGACTTTAATAAAATATGAGTTAATTATATAACCATGTTTTTCAGGTATTATTCATTAGAGCAACAGCTGAAATTTCAGTTTACGCTGTACATTTAGATGCTTCAAACGTTAATGTTTATGGTTATTCTGTTATCCCTGTAGATGTCCTTGGTCCTAACTACCACGTGTTTCCCGACAGTTCTAATGGTGAGTATTTCAACATTAAAGGAAATCCACTGCGGTTTTAAGCCTAAAAACATAAAATTTTGATTTTTTACATATATCTGCTTCGGCACTTAAAAACAGAACTGTATGCAAAAAATAATTAGAAAATATCATTAAAATACATTGTTAATCGTATTTCTTTTGCTATTCTTAGATCAATTCAGTGAAAAGCGTTGCAACGGTTATCAATTTTTTTAGTGATATTTTACAATTGAAATAATTTTTCTGGAACAAACGGAGTGAGAGGATGATCTGGAATTTTGCACACAAGTTGTAAGTCAATACGTACAGCAAATGGTACATTAATCTTGAAAAATTATTTCCAGTCCGTCATTTCAAAATACCTCAGTGGAGTCCCTTTAAATACTTTGGGTAATGGTGTGGAGAGAGCAGAGATTTCTTCAGCAGTGGTTGATTATAGTCATGTAAATTTTGCCTATAACAATATGATATTTGATTGTTTATTTATGATCCAAGTGAATTTACCTTTTCTTTTTATGCCACCACAGGCAGCACCTGCGATGCGATGGCATATATAGCGATTTTATCTCTGTGTGTATTGGTGTGTGCGTGCGTGTGTATGTGTGTTACGTAGTTAAATTATAAAATCATCATTTCAATCAAACTTGCTAGGAATGTTCCATGGGTGACTTCGTTAAGCACTCCTCTACAAAAACTTTACTCATTTTCTCCTAGAGCTTTAAAATGCCATGCAAAGGTAGTTGGGTTTTCTTTTATATAAACCTATATAATAAACATTTTTTTCAAATGTTCACTTAAACTGCAATGACCAGATCAAGGATATATTGCATAACGCATCACCCTGTAGTCCTATTGGCCTCACTCCGAAGTTTAATAAGTTTATTTAGAAAAGCGAATAGAAAAAGAAAAAAACATAAGAAACTACAAGGCACAGAGCTTAAATATTTGACATGCAACTTTGCAAAGTGGACCTCTACGAAAAATTTACAAATTTCCAGGCCTTGTGTATTAAAAGGGTAGTTAAAATGAAATAGTTTTTCTTTCCCTAATTGAAAGATTATTTCTTTCATTCCTCAAACAAATAATGTTCTGGGAGTATATTGCGCCCACTTTGGCCAGCTCTTGATTACATTTACAGTAAATCAAATACAATTCCAATTTCATTTTTGAGTGGTATTTAAATTTTATATACGAATACTAGTGTAATGTATATGTATTTTATAAAAAGGGAAGTACTTATGTCAACGCTTTTAAAACCAAGGATTTCTAGGTAACTATTTATATGTATACTTACACGTGTTTTGTCTAAGTATACAGTATATAAGATACCATAGCGATAGTTTAGTTAGAGTAGAATTGTCACTCAAACACGAAGGGTTACAGTTTAGCTTAAACAGTTTTTCAGTCACAAAAATATGCATGCACATTACAAACAACATGGAGGATAACTCAAATATCACGTGAATATTTCTTATTAATTTTTGAAATGGTTATGGAAACAAGTATTTTGAATACTTATATTAATTAACTAATTCCCTTAGTTGTTGGAAAGAAGACTGAAAGGTGATCAAATAGATGAATATGTATAATAAGAATATCTATTGTAAGGTTTTGTTGCTTCAACACTTGCTAAGGATTCCCGCTTCGACGCCGAATGGCGACAATAAAGTCGTGCATCCATTTGTTTGTTTGTTTGTTTTGGGTTTTACGTCACATCGACACAGTATAGATCATATCGCGACGTTCCAGCTTTACTGGTGGAGGAAGACCTCAGGTGCCCCTCTGTGCATTTTTTCAGGCACGAACGGGCACCTGAGTAGAACCACCGACGTTCCGTGAGCTAGCTGGATAGCTTCCTCACTCGTGCATCCATTTGAAAACGTATAGTTTTCTTCAATGTTTAAGATTTCAGAACCGTAAAGGTTTTTGAAAATTCGTTTGACAATATAGACTGGATAACTGTACTTGTCTATGAGTATCAAAAGTAGGACAATATAGAAGGTATTACGAAAGACGGGCGTTGCAATTGTAAATTTATGAATTCAGTGACTATTTCAACATCTCGAGTTAACGAAGAGCATGTTGTGAAGTTATAAAACAATGTAAAAGAGAAATCGCGAAGGTGAATTTGTGAATTTGAAATCGTGAATTCACGGCGTTGAAACATAAAATTACGAAGATGAAATCGGTAATTTATGAAGTTCAATAGTTGAAATGTTCCCACATGTCTTTTGTAAGACAGTGACCGATTTTAACAATTTCGCCGCATGTACTGTGATTTCAGTTATTGATAGATTTGTTTGGATGACAGTCTTTTAACAATAATTTAGCCGATGAATGATTCTTTTGTTTGCAAATCAGTGTTGAGTGGTGAGGTAGTGTTTGGTGTATGAAAAATAAGATAGTGTTATAAGGAAAGAGACGTATACTTGAATAGAGAATAGAAACTATGTTATTTATATACATTAAGAAGAGCAAGAGGCCAATAATTGAACCCTGTGGAGCATCAGCTTCAAAAAGACACCGATGAGATTAAGAGGTTGCTAATAACGACTTGTGCCTGTTTATTTTAAGATATGAGTAGAAACACTAAAGTACTGTTCCGTTAAAAACCAATAGATGGGAGTTTACTTATAAGACCTTTATGCAAGACACGGTCAAATGCATCCGAAATGTCATAAAAAAATACATTTTTTATTTCTTTGCCTTCATCAAGGGCTTTAAAAATGGCATTGTATATGTAGGGTTTATTGGTGTTTGAACCTCCATTTATAAATCCAGATTGAAAAAAGAGAGTATTTTATTTTGAATAATAACATTGTACACATCTTTTTGGACACAGCTATTCATTTGTTTCACGACAGTTAAGAAAGGAGATTGACTTTAGTTTCAAGGGTTAGAATTATCAGATTTTAATAAAGGCAACTAGGAGTGGCGTGTGCTATTTCCTTTTCTTTTTTTCACCAGAGACATACATTTGTTGAAAAAAAAGAGAAAGTTAGTTAGCAAGTTCAATTGGTGCTTCCTTTTAGAAGTCATAATCCAGACAAGATACTATGAATGAAGTTATATTATATAGGATTGCATCTTTTATTTACTTCTTATGGTGATAACGTAATGTTGTTTTAAGATACAGATATGCAGATGATGCAGAGTTTAGAAGAGGGCATTCTTTATTTATATCCTGCACGATCGATTGTTGACTGAAAGAATTTGTTAAGTAGATTGCCCTTGTCTTGATATGTTGTTGCCTGAAAGATGTGTGCATAAAGTGTTAGTTGTTAGTATAGGGTCACCAGTCTTAGTGAGTTAAAGGATGGTTTTTGATATTTTAACCCTATTGTTTCGACTTATTGTGTAATCATTGATTTTATCTACAAATTTCTGTTTTGGTGGGCTAACATTATCTACCATATTTTAATCTTTACTCTTTTCTCTTTATTCAGAACTTTCTGACCAATGATAAAGTGTAGTTTTACGTTTGTAATATGTAAAGACGTTTTCGAGTATGAGCTAGTTGTCTTACATTGGAATTGTACATGTACCATAGAACATCATTTGGACCAATAGTTACATATTTGTAATCTATTGTTTATCAAGCGGCGTTTAAAATTCATTTTGTAATTTGCATCGTTAGAAGACCAGGATCTATTCTAGATAATAAATGTTCTCCATTTGTTCCAGTAAGTTACATATTTCTAGATCAAGCGGAGTCACCATGATCATACTTTCAGACATGTCCAGTTAAAGATATGTGTTTTTTTATTTTTGTTTTGGGTATTTTTCTTTTGGGATAATGCCTATAGGACGGTGATAGATATCTAATACGATGAGGTACAAAGGGATCAGTTACAAAACTTGCGAGGATATTATTTATAATTTTATCCTAAAAGAACAAACAAACAAAAGATCGGTAACCAAACAAGATGTTCTGGTAACATATGTATAGTCTGCAATAGTTTAATGCATGTTATATGAAGTTATTAAGTTTTGTATGTCTGATTTTTTGATGAAGAAAATTGCAGTAAAAGTTTCCTGAAATGAATGTTTGTTTCATAAGCTCTATCAGCGCTTTCTTCTCATAGTGACTAATACGTAGTTATTGCCAGCGTTCGGCGGTTAAAAAATTCACCCGATTAAAGGTTTTTAATTTTTCTTTGTGATGTCAAGCCAGAGAGTCGCTGGATCGGATAAAGATAAATCATCATCACGGACTGTCCCAGTTAGACTATGCTTTAGATAAATTACGACATCACTAACAGCTCTATTACATCGAACACAGCGTAAATGAGTTCTTAAATTTGGTATTTTTTTCATAGTTTTCAATATAAGGTGATTTTAAGAGAAAATAATAATATCATGAGGTTGTTATTTAATTTCTAGTATGTCTATAGCCTTAGGGGAAAGGCTTTGTAAGTTAAGGTGCATAATGCTTGTGTTTCTCTGAATGCTGTCATCACAGTCCTAATGACGAGATGTTTTGGAAGGCGATGTTTTCAGTAAACCGAGATTGGAGGTAAATGTATTATGATGTATACATTTTTATCCTAGCATTTTGCACTAAATTCTTGCTTATTTCCCTTGCATTTTGTCAGAGCTGTACATGTAGTTATTATTTTTTTCCTATCTATTTTACAGAGGAGTGTACGTCCTATTCATTCGCAGAATATTCTTCACATAAGACTGTTATAGAGACAAAACCTTATAAAGGTAATAACAGTTTGTTCTAAGACTTATATTTTACCGGTGTTCGAACTTATATTTTTTAAAATAAATGATATACTTCTTTATCGTCTTCGGTAATTCTAAGTCAATGCTTATAGAATTAGTTCTGTTAAACATTTAATGTTATGATGCTTACTGCTTATTAAGAAAATTTCAATAATCTTAGCGATTTAATGGGTTCGAAGTACTGCATATCGTAGCCCCAGCTTGTTAAGTGCTTTGATTTCTGGTATTGCTTTAAAATACCCTTTGTTATCCAAAATCATTATTCCTTTTTCGGGGTCATTTGTCTTTCAACCATACAAAACATCACCTTACGGTTTAAAGGTTTATACTTTGAAAGATTATTGTTTATCTTTGGGGATAATAACCAATTCCAACAAAACAAATAACGGATCTTCATTTTTTCTTTAAATACAGGGTTTTTTTCATCAAGACTTAGTGGTATATAAAGAGGATATTTTTTCGTTTGAGTGAAATATGGAATATATTTTCACGAAACATGATAAAATGCCACATATTTTCACGAGCCGGGACGGCGAGTGAAAATATGTGGCATTTTATCATGTTGAGTGAAAATATATACCATATTTCACGAAAAACGAAAAAAATAACCTTTTTATTTAATTTCAGTATCAAAAAAAATGGTTACGAACCCTATTGCTTGCTACGCAACTGGAATTGTACAGCGCGCAGTAACATATTAATGCGTCTTGTTTTGCACGCGATATTTGGCGCTACATTGTGATTGGTGTTCGGATTTATTTTCTTAGTTAGACCATTTTTTATCATTCTAGATAGTTTTCAATGCAAAATTCAACAAAAAGTTGTTTTGCATTTATCTGATTTTTCAAACAAAATGCCGAAAGAAGTCCCTTGAAATATTTTGAGTTTTGACTCCGCCCACTTTCGCATTTATTTTTCATATTTATTTCTAAAATATATGAAATGTATTTGACTGATATAACACCATATTTCATTGGTAAAATTAAATAAAAAATACTATTTCAAGAGTCACTGTAGCTACAAGTGAAATATCATGATTTTCTTACCACGAGATGAAAATGAAAAAAAAAAATGATTATAGAAGAAATGGAATTTTCTGTTTATTAAATATTTTTTTCCATGTATTTACCTTACGGTTTGAATGATGGCTGAGTTTTAGAGGACAAAAGTCCGATAAGAACCCAGAGTAAATACGGAAAATATGTTTTATTGCAGTGAAAAAAGTTTACAGTGAAAATAAGAAAATTGAAAATATTCATTTTATTTTAACACAATTTCTTAATTATATTTAAGTTTTATGTACATGTATATAAGCTTAAAGATATTTCTATAGTACACACAGCAATAATTTATCGGTTTGAAAATTTTCTTCATAGACAAGGTCAATACCGGTGAAAGTAGGGAAAGGTTCACTCAAGTAATGCATGATTTAAGCGTTATTATATTGAATGAACCCGAAAACACCATCGAGTAAAAACGTCTTTTAATAGCATCTATTGACACGTTTTGATTATATAAGCCTTTGTTTAGAACACAATGATTATCTATTTCTATGGAATCAAATACTAATTGACTAATTAAAAAGTGTTCACAGAACTGATGGGATCATCAAAAATGTTGATTCATGAACATAGTGTATCAGCGGATATTTATGAGTCACAAAATTGTTCTAATATCAATAAGTGGACTTTTTGCTTGCGGAAATATTTGCGATTTTTTAAAAAAAAAAATTCAAAACTGTTTTTGTGATATCATTAATTAAGCAGGTATATGTTAAGAATATGCCGTGATTGTAATCATTCTATTCAGTTGTTAAATACATTTATCATTTATATAATTGTTTGAAATATATACTGTTAGTCTGATAAAAAACCTGATGACAAATTGTCATATTTTGATTTTTTTGCTAGATGTGTTATTTACACGTATTTTGTTTCATTCAAACATTTGTGATTTGTTAAGATCAAACTTTTAATATACAAGCAATGTGAAAAAATAATCTCACTACCCGAACAGTTAATCTTATTCATGTAAGATGCTGTATAAAAATGTGTATTTAAATTATAGAAGAAAGTCTGTCTGAAAAGAAATAATTTTTGCGCAATCAAATATTTGCGAATAATTTTAATAAGTAAAAATCGCAAATATTTCCACGTCGCAAAATTAACCACTTTTACAGTAACCTTTTCATTGTTATCTTATGTCTGGTCTGTAATCATCATTCTTCATTCAGCAGATCAATACCTGTTCCAAGAAGGTCGTCCACGTGCTGTGTTTTGCAGTACAAGCAATTATTTGGTTCAAATTCCACCTCGCGAGAGTTTGGGAACTCAGCATTTCATTCCGTCATTAGACATTGTAACAAATGAAGAGGCAGAGATCCGTCTAGTCGCCAGTGAGGACAGTACAGTTGTAACAATACGCGGGAATTATGATAATCTAGACACAATCGACCTTAACGGAGATGGTTATACACGGGAAGTCGTTCCAAATATGGTATGTTCATCAGTAAACAATATTAAACTGTTATTTCTTCTTGAATTATGGTATCATATACATTTGTATCACTTTAGAAAATAAAAATTCATATAAATATTATACGAACTATGTTTAGTGCAATAATGCTTTTGCATGAATAGGTTCAATCACACCGAGTCTGTCCTCATTTTCAGTATTTCTCTATTTTATAATCTAACTCGTCCGGGCTTTGTCTTGTCCCTTTTACTGCTTTTGTTTGGTATCCTGCTGGGCTCCTTGTACATCATTTCATCAACATTTTTGAAAATATGACACTCGTAACCTTGTATATTTTTCTGTCCCGTCTCAACATGTATTTTGTTCATGTTTAAAATGTAATTATATAGAATAAATATGCTTAAATCAATTTATTATATATAATTAAATTTATATGTATCATTACACTGAAAAATAATCCGTACTTTGTATTTCATTTTAATATTATTTTTATAATGATACATCAAGTCTGGAAGAATAGCAGGATTTGTTTAGTGGCACACCATACCTGTAAATCCGTATTTTTATTTTAAAAAATGTCAAAATGACTTAAATAATGTTTAGATAATAGATTAAGTGCTTATTAGATGCTTTCGACTCCAAATGCAGAACGCTGAGCATGCAGTTATGTGTCGTAAAGTTACCAAAATGTGAACAAATTGGTATTTTGACATCCATACAAACTACTTATTCATTATTATTCTCTAATTGCCAACAGAACTAAAGATGCAAAAGATAATTCATGTATATAGCAAATGAGTAATATGTTATTGGAAACTTAACAAGATACCAACAATTAATAGTTTGTTTAGAAATAAAAAGACATCATAGGCCTCTTAGTAAAGGGGATGTGTTGGATTCATGGTCAAATTAAATATGATGCTCAAATAAAGATTTATCAATACTAAAAGTTCCAAAAGCATTATTTGTAAAGATATTACCGAGTTAACATTTTATGTAAATAAAGGGAGGTAATTAGAAATTTGTTTTCTATAAAGTCTAGTCAATTTTTTAAATAAGAAAGGAATGCATATATTTTAATGATTACATATATAAAAATGCATATTAACATTTGAAATACATATTTAACATATTTCTAGATGTTTAAAAACTGGTTTACAAGAAAATTTCACACAAGTGTTGTTACATCCTTAATTACAACATACAGGATCTTTAAAGTATTTGTTTATCTATATATCTAACGTATAAAGTCACTTATAGTCACTACACTTCGAATGTAAAATTTTTAGTTCATATAAACACGACGTGTACACATAAGTCCCTTTGTCTTAGCATAATATATCAACAGTTTGTTTTATTCTTCAGGTGTACAACATTTCATCAACGAAACCTATTTTAGTGCTTCTCCAGATAAAAGCTACCACTAATGTTTGGACGTCTGTAATTGCTATCCCTCCAGTGAGACAATATAAAACACAGCACCATTTTCATAACTTCAATGATGATCCGATGATCTTATTAGAAAAAAGGTAAGAAAGTTTAATTGCATAGATAAAGTTAGTTGCAAGTAAGTTTGTGGCCTAATAGCAAAGCGATGTAAAGCTCATATGGCCTAACTCCCATATAGTTTAGTACCATTAATAACCTTATTGGAAACATAGGATTCTGTGGAAAACATTTACATTAAATACATTATTTTTGTAGAAAAAATACATTCACTACACATATTGGACTACAGTTCGAGAATAATAACATATCTTAAACTGTGAGGTGACATCATTAAAATCTTCTAACAGCTTGCATACAAAATCACCCCCTTGTGGCAAAGGGATTGCCTTTAAGGGTTGAGGCACACCGTTTATCTTTGTGTGATCGTAAGAAGCCACTAAATTGGTTCAAATAACTGGAGTCAATGCAACTCTCAGCTCCAGCAGACTCTGCATAACGTTTATTTATATTATATTTGCGGGCTTTATTGATTTAATTCATAATGATTTTATAATATTTTTTGTTTCCTATTCATATGTTAAAATAAGTAAAAATTCTCAACTGCTTTCATTTTAAGATCTAGCTGTAAATATCACCGCCTTATAGTAAGGTAAGGCCCTTACAATTTTGACAAATTTCCTAACATAGGTCACAATTTTTCCATATTTGAGCCGCGTCATGACAAAACCAACACAATGGGTTTGCGACCAGCATGGATCCAGACCAGCCTGCTCGTCCGCGCAGTCTGATCGATCATGATCCATGCTGTTCGCTTACAAATCCTATAGCAAGTAGAGAAACTGATAGCGAACAGCATGGATCCTGATCAGACTGCGCGGATGCGTAGGCTGGTTTGGATCAATTCTGGTCGCAAACGCACTATGTTGATTTTGTCATGACGCGGCTCATTTCGTTAGTAAGGGGTAGAAATATGGTCAGAAAACAGTTTAGTCAGCTTGATCTTGCATACACCATACATGAAAATGTATATAATAATGAAAAAGAAAAAAAAATGATACAAGGATTGTTGATATGCATACATTTCTTAAACCTTTAATAGAGTTATGAATTAATATCTTTGATACATGTAGATAGGATGATGTTTTATCACATACACCGCGGCACAGGAGTGTAATAAAGCCATTTAATAAAAACGATATTACACTAGTGTAATAACACTTTGACGTGACGTCATTTGCGCTATATATAAACATAGCGTTAAAGCGCGCTAATGTTAGCGTTACACTATAGGAGCGTCATTGAAAAAATACTCATTTTAACAGTTTACTGTTCTTATTTTATATATATGATAAATAGAATATTATATTCGTGTAGATTCAATACTAAATTTATTGAACTCGTTGAATAAAACAATATTATGCTCGCCAGAGGCTCGCATAATATGATTTTATTCAACTCGTTCAATAAATTTAGTATTAAACTACACTCATTCAATATCCTCTTTATACAATAAATTGAGCAGACACTGGAAGTAACTAAGATTATTAATTGATTTTCGAGAAGTTTGTCGTTAGTTTCCGTCATTTTATTATGATTTACGCATTGATATTAAATATTGTTTGACAAAATTGACAAGATACCCATTAACGTTCGTGAGGTTTTCGTTAGTTTTCGTAATTTGTTATAATTTTAAAGAGAATGAATGCTGACAAACAAAGGATTTGTGACCACACAGTTGCAAGACTTAGTTCGAATTCTGGACAAAGTTTTGTCTTTTTATCTTAAAGTTTCATGAAGTGCATTTTTACATCTGTTAATTCATGTGTTGATTAAGTAATAAAACCAATACCAAAAAGTATATATCAGATTGCCAAGTGTTTGGTGTTTTTTCTCTTGTTTCGTAGGCAAAAATTAAAAAACAAAACAAAAAACAAACAAACTAAAAAACAACAACCCCCCCCCCCCCAAAAAAAAAACATGTTCTCTTACGCCACAATATGATTCTCCAGCAAAAAGTAAACCAATGACCGAGCAACGAGACAAAAATTAGCCAATCAACGAGCAGGATGTCTAACGTTATCCCCGACAGACAGAGCAGTAATTTGAGTTCGTGTAACCAAAACCTGCAGTACAGTTAACTCACTGTGCATGTATTGATATACGCTTTAACTCTGACACATTTCCAACAGAAATGTCTGAAAACTCTGATACCACTGTGTGTTTCATATCAGCCTCTAATTTTCATTTCATCATTTTTATGAATGTATTTTTTCTAATTCACTAATTTTAATATGTTGTGGTACAATAAGTGCTATGCAAGCCTAAAGCTATAGTGGTCAAGTTCTGCAAAATATCATAAAATAATCACACAATAAATATGATTTTTTTTTATTCGAACCTACTTGTAATTTTTTATTTGAAACTAACGGAAAGTCTTATACCTTGTCACCCAATCTAGTAAGTCAAGTGTTATGCTGGTAATTCTAAGTCACACGTCTATCACTGTACCATACATCAAAATGCGTATGGTTTACTTCGGCATCCGATAATTATTGCCACATAATAAAAGCAAATTCTAGTCAGTTAAATCCATAAGTACGAAGCGATAGCTAACGTGGTAAGTACGATTTCAATAGCATGTTTGCAAGTTCAAATCTTCGACTTACATTTTTTAGTCCCCTACCGGTTTACCGGAGGGGACTTTAGGTTTACCCTCCGTCCGTCTGTCCATCCGTCTGTCCGTCCGTCCGTCTGTCTGTCAGTCCGTCAGTCCGTCCGTCCACAAAACTTGAAAAGTACTGAAAATATTTTTATGAAACTTGGTATATGGATAGATGGCAGTATGGAGATTATGCACATCTTTTTCTTTTCTTCCTATGTTGAAAATTCTGGTTGCTATGGCAACAAATAGGCTAAAAATATGGCAAATTCTACACATAAACTGGATCCAGTGATAACGCAAAAAGTACTGGAAATATTTTTATGAAACTTGACATATGGGTAGATGGCAGTCTTGGAATTATGCACGTCTTTTTCTTTTCTTCCTATGTTGAAAATTCTGGTTGCTATGGCAACAAATAGGCTGAAAATATGGCAAATTTTTCACATAAACTGGATCCAGTGATAAAGCAGAAAGTACTGGAAATATTTTTATGAAACTTGACATATGGGTAGATGGCAGTCTTGAGATTATGCACGTATTTCTCTTTTCTTCCTATGTTGAAAATTGTGGTTGCTATGGCAACACATATAGTGAAAATATGGCAAATTTTACACATAAACTGAATCCAGTGATAACTCAAAAAGTACTGGAAATTTTTTTATGAAACTTGACATATGGGTAGATAGCAGTCTTGAGATTATGCATGTCATATCTGTTCTTCCTATTATGAAAAAATATCAGTTGCCTTGGCAACAAATAGGCTTAAAACATCGCAAATATAACAATATTTGTGATAAGTCAAAAAGAGCTGAAAATTTTTATGAAATTGCATCTTTAATTCAAGAGTTATCTCCTCTTTAAGAATTTTGCTTTTAAAATGTTATATTTTGGTAACAGCGATGTTTCAAATATTAACTTTAGAGTGTCCTTCAGTCCGTCTGTCTGTCGGTTCATAAAAACTGTTTCCTGTGATCACTTTTAAAGAACTTTTCCAACAAGTTTACTTAAAATAGAGAAAAATTGAAACATAAGTGAATGGCCAATGGCCCTTCAGAATGTTGATGGGGTTCTAACCGGTAGGGGACTTATGGATTGCTTGCAATACTATGATAATTGCTTGTTTCTCTAGATATGATTTTATGCCCCGGGCATATAGTAATTGAACCGTCCGTCCGTCTGTCCGTACAACCCAGAGCTACATTATGGGGTTTGGTCTATTGTTCTCATAACAATAGATGTCTTTGATGTCATTCATTCCGTTTCTCTTTTGGGGTTATTTTCTGCATTGTGGGGTTAAAAAGAACAAAGAAATAACAAAAGAAAACCCAATAATGTAGCTCTGGTAAGAAAGTATGTCCGTCCACCCGTCTGTCCGTCTGTCCGTACGAGAACGACAAGTTGGATTTTTCTTAAGTTCTACCTGTACCAATGGCTTTTTAGTTTACACACTTACTAATCAATACAAAGTACATGATCTGGTCAAGTTACAGAACGATGGCTTCCATATTTACCAAGTTATTGCCCTTTTCAGCACTTAGAAAATGAATAATGGTTAACCTAAAACGGCAAGTTTGTAATATCTTAAGTTCTATCTATACTAATGGCTTCATAATTTCCACACTTACTTATCAATACAAAGTACATGATATTGCCAAGTTATATAACAGTGTCAGCAATATTTCCCAGTTAATTCCCTTTTTTCACTTTGAAAATAGGGCCTTGTCTGGTTAACCTATTCCGGCAAGTTAGATTTATCGTAAATTAATTGCTTAATTTACTTAATGATAGCTTGCTTATTTGGTAAGTGGATACCTTAAATGGTCCTCTATTTTTTTGTGGAGTAAGTGGTCTCTAGGGTCAAGGTCACTGGTTAAGAAAATAAATTTAAACATTTTTGCTCATACAGCCTTTATTTTTTGGTTGATGTCTTTCATGTTTAGGGGTCAGTTTGGTCAAGGTCATCAATGCTCAAAATAGGTTTTAACATGTTTGCCCATACAGCCTTTATTTATTGACAGGTGTATTTCATATTTGGTAGGAAGATATCTTGCATGATATTCTATATGTGTCAGTGGGTCAAGGCCAAGGGTGCCAAGTATAGATTTCTTACGTTTATATATATTTGGTAAAGTTGAATATTTATCACTTCACAAGTCATAGCAATGACTTGGCAACTTATATATTTCACAATTACAAAATGCCATGACTCTGTCAAGCTATATAACTTATGTTTACAATTTTTTGGCAATGTTTCTGTCCATAACTGAGTGAACATTTTTTGAAATATTGCTACTGACAAGAATCGGAGCCGGGGGCATTTGTGTTAAACAAACACGTTCTTGTTTTTTAAATTATATGCAGCAATAGTTGATAAATCATTTCGTTTAATTTCAGTTGTTGCCGTTTTTTATTTCATTA